AGCATTAGCAGGAAGAGCACAGCATCAGGAAAACATGAAGGGCACCCAGCCAGGACATGACTACACAGCTTTTAGCTGCCTAGCAATTGGGACATTGCTTTTTTGGGTGAAGAGATTCAATTCCCTCGTGTCAGAATCACTTGGTTTCCTAGCCAGATGCCTCCAGCCGGGGGAGCATGTGGAGCCCTAAGTGCTGAGCATCCCTGTGTGTGCATCACAAGCTGCTGCCTGGGCCGGGGGAGGTCTGCTTGTGGCAGAAGTCACAAGTGCTGTGGACGTGGCAAGCGTGTAGGCTCAGCCGGGGTCGTATGTGCCGCTGGCCACGCCTGCTCATCTCGCTTCTGTATTCCTTCAGGATGGAGTGGTGGGGCTCGGCAGTGCTGAGCTGGCATTACTCATCCCTGTGGAGTTATTCCAGGTTCCCAGCTCGCTTGTGTAACTGGAAGGGTTTTGCCTTTTATCTCTGACATGCTGGTGGAACAGTGGGAGGATTTAAATTTGGGAACGAAATTGGCAGAGAATTCAGCCCAGCGCTTGTGTTCTGCAGTAGGTGGTTTTGCACTGACACCTATTATCCCTCTAGGGAAGCGTGATCGGTGGACTCTGGAACTGCACCGGTGAGCGGGATAAGGACACTTTGAATCCCAGAAGCTCAGGGATGGACTTAGGCATGTTGTACCCTTGAAGGATGGGAAATCAGGTGTTAAAGAATCTGGTATAACCTCTTTCCCCAAGCTTTCTGTCTCTTTGGAGCAACTGTGCTGGGCCTGTGTATGAAGCAGGGTCTGTCAAGAAGGAGCTCAGTTAACCCTGCTTTAGCTCATTACCAGCTTGTTTGCAACGTACTGGAATAGCACAGATCATAATGAAGTTCACTGGCATTCATGCACCTCATTCTGGGCAGGGACAGCGGCAAGTTTGTGAGCAAGGGAGTCAGCACGTCTCACTTCCAGATTTTCCTCCCTGGTTTCTGCCTTGACGTGGCACGCCCTGCAGTGGCATCGTTTGGTCAGGGAGGAGGAGAAGGCGAGGAAGAGGAGGCAACTTGAACTGCTTCTGGTTTTGCACATGGCTGCTCTGCTCCAGCCTTCTCCCAGCCCTTAGAGAATGCACATTGCTTTCTAAGAAGCAAAAGGCCAGAGCTGCAGAAAGAAAAATCCCTGGCCAAGAAGACCAGGTGTATGGGAAAAGACACTGCTGGGTAGGAGTTAGGCGCTTGGTGGAGGACTGAGGTCCTTTTGTCTTCCACTTACAGCTTATCCAAGATGAACACGTGGCTGCACTATCCCTAACCACATCTCAGCCTTGTAATTCATCTCCCCGAGGACTTAATTCAGGTATAAAAGCACCATATAACTGGGAAGGATGGATAAATGTTCACCCTTGCTTCCTGTAATGAAGCTGGAACTCCATTACAGTCCTGGAACTGAATAGGTCCCTGAGATCACTGTCCTTGAAACCAAACATTTGGAACCTTTTATATCAAGTCCGTACACCGAATACAAAGCTCACGTTTCATGCTTTCCTAGCCATAGTCAATTGTATTCATACCTTAGTGGATACCAGACCTAAAATGTCCTCTTCCTCCACACGGAGTCCAAATATATCAACTCCTTTTCTTGGGGCATGATAAAAATGGGGAGTAAATTATAGATGCTCTCTCCGCTTTCCGGCAGGAAATATGCAGCGAGGCTGCCTGGTCTGTCTTACCCACGGCCCCGGCCATGCAGGCACTCTGCTGTATTAGCGTTTGCTGGCTGACAGGTCATTTTTCACCTAGCAACAAACAGAGCAACAAGATGTGCTTCCAGAAACTGGGGCAGATTCAACGTTCATCTGGTGCCCCAATTTGTAACTGATCCTAAAACCCCTATGTAAAGGCCCATAGGCGTGATCAGAGCAATTGTAAAAACTAATTTTTTTTTTTTTTTTTTTTTTTTTAGCTGGATATTATGTCCAGCTATCAGAAGCACAAAGAAACCGAGTGGAAAAATTGAATCTGGCAGTAAGAGTGCGATGCATGAAGGCACACGACTTCCAAACCCAGAGAACAAAAATAGCTGCAAGAGAAAAAAAAAATGCCTGAAAGAAGCTCTTTAATTATTCCGTTTCTTTCAACAGCTTTGCCCCTGGCACAGCCAGGCTGCCATTCGTATAGGGCAGCCATATGGGTGGCAGTAAAGCTTGGGCACCACGTTAGCAGAGAGAAAGGAGCTGCTTTTTTGGCTGTGTTTTCAAAGCGCTGGTAGCAGATCGATTGCGGCCCTGGGCACAAGGGAATCTGCACTTTCCTAACGAGTCACCAGGGGTTTATTTTCAGTCCGGCTGAGGTGAGGGTGAAGGAGTTTAGATTTCTGCTTGGATTCTAGAGGCTGCTCCCAGAGGGCTGCTCAAGGAGGAGGTTGGAAGAAGCGTTGGAGGAAAGCACAGAAAGCGCTACCCAGCACACACCTTTTCAGTCTGCTGGAGGAAGTTCCTGGGCTGTTGTTGCTATGGCACAGAGGACTGAAATCTTCATGATGGCCCTTTCTGCTGCCACTACGGAAAGGCAAAGTCATTTAGCTGTGCTGACACTGCAGTAACCAGCAGCCTGGTGAATCTGTGTTTCAGGACACTGACAGAACACCCAGTCTCCTAGAAGCCACCCATTCCCTTCTGTGGTGTCTAAGTCTTTACATCTTTCTCTAAGTTGATGCTTTCAAAGCTTATGAGGAACACTGAGAAAAAGTGTTCTGAAAATACTCTGAAATACTCTTGTGGTTGTTGTTTGTGCTGGAGGTGGCCATACTGACATCTGAGTTTTAGGGTTTATATACCTTTCTCTGGAATGAAGTCAATAGCAATTGTATGAAACCTCCCTGTTGGCCGAGATGTTCAAAGGAACGCTGCAGCAGGACTGAGAAGTAAAGGAATTCCTAAACACCAATAACCAATCAAATGTAATTTGCAAGCCAGTGAAGAGGCAGCTGTTAAATACACCTACTAAAATAACCTTTTCTGAACTGTCAAAGGGGCTTCACAGTAAGATCTGTTTCTTTAATTTTAATTTGGGCAAGTCGCTTGCTGCCCAGTGGCACGGGTACCAGCTGTACACGGAACAGTCAGGGAGAGGGGGATGCCAGGGCGGGTGAGTGCTGCGACACGGCAAGGGGATGGAGTGTGACATTTGGGTTGCGCTCAGGCCCTCATTCTCTAATGGCACCAAGCTGTTGGCTGACCCTTCTGTTAGAGTTTGCAACATCCCTTTTGATTGCATGGCTTGAGTGAGCAGATGGGAAAACGGGAAATGCAATGGATCTTTCTCCAGTGGGGGCTTGGTGAGTAGGACCTAAGCCACCATCCATCAGGAGCATTGCAACTTCACATTGTAGGAGTCCCTGAGTCAGGCCAGAGCTTGGAAAGGCAGTGGTGGCAATGCTGTGGGCTGGACGTGGATCCGTGTTAGTAATTTTCCATAATGACCTTGTTGCATTTCCTTCTTTTCTGAGTGCCTGTGGCGGGACAGAGAGGTATTTGTAGAAAGGAAAGGCTGGCATTTGTAGAAAGGAAAGGCTGGCATTACAGAGTCATCGCAAGACAGAGCTTGTTCTTAAAAAACAGAAGTGCAAAAAAAAGAAATGGATGCACTATACTTGGTGTTCCTGCTGTTATCACAGCAAATCATACTTGCTTGTAAACCTGCGGCAACCGGTTACCTCCCTTTGCATAAGGGAAACTGAGAGCCCTGCAACTGCAGCAAAGCCAGGCCTTGGGACTATGCACAAAAGTGTTCCTTGCTGGGGAGTCGTTTCCATGAATTCCTACACAAATATGACCCGCACACCAAGACTTGCTCCCACCGTGGTGGGGGCAGATTTAGTCTCTGCAGTTTCAAGGAACTGCTGATGAAAAAGGCCCTTTGGAACATGCATTGTGCTGTCTTGCCTGCTCTGTCCTGGGTTCTTGCCAGCTTCCTTAGAGGTAGAGGAGAAGGCCAGGGATCCAGCACGCTCCTGAGCAGCCATACTGTATTACCGCAACTTCAGAGAGCCCAGGGCTTGCTCCGTTCAGAAGCAGAGTGCTCGGCTGCCCTCCTCTTCGGCCTGCTGGGGGTGGCTCTAGATGGAGGGTGTCTGTGAAATCCGTGTCTGAAGTTCTGGCCCCACCATCCTTTACACTGGGCATCATGGCAGGGAAAGGGATGTCAGTCATCGAGAGCCCAGGAAGAGAGAAGTGTGGGGTGAGGAAAGGTGTAAGGAATATGCTTAATTTAAAGTGCTTGGCAGGTAGCAAACTTTTTGTAAGTACGTATTTCTCCTTGCATGGCAGGAAGTAGAGGAGCCAATTGTAGGCAATAGTTGTATTTTCTTGCATCCGGTATTTTTCAATGAAAGCAGATTCCAGGCTGTCTTCTACAATACGTAACGGTGATCAATAAACTAGCCTGTTTCCTCTGGATTTGATGTTCGGCTTCTGTTAAGATGTAGGGAGTGGTGTTTGCTGAGATGACATCAGGAGCTCTTGGATGAAGCGAATAGAGACACATCCTTACCTCGCACAGCGTTGGCAGGGTTTCGGTGCTTCTCGTTGCTCACGGAGCTGAACAACATCGCAGCTCATTTAGGAACAGCAGCCCTACCCCTTTTTCTCCTTCAGACTCACTTGTTAAAAGAAACCAGATGAGGAAAGGGCAGCAGCGGAGTCACAAGTAGCCTGTAAATGGTCAGCATCCCCCTTCTGCCCTGCCTGGCTAGGAGCAGCGTGGTCAAACCACAGGCTAGAGGGAATTTTTAATGGAAAGGGATGTTGATGGAGGAGACACTCCTCTGCTTGTAAGTAATATCATCTGGGAACAAGAGAGCAGTGGAAGGGGAGGACAGCAGGCTCTGAAGGGGAGTTACAGCTGATACGTCACGGTTCTTGACTATGCAGCCAATTTAGGCTCAACAAGGGGGTTATTAGACCCACAGCCCTTGCAGCCACCCCGATTCAGGGCTGTGTTTAACTCCTTTGAAGCAGCCATGGGCTGTTTAGAACTGGGTCCCCAACCAGCAATACCGGACGGCATCTGCAGGGTGGGGACGGGGCCAGTGCGTCGGAGGCTTCTGCGCCGAGCCAGCTGTGCCAGGGGCTGCGGCAGCACCCCTCAACACGTGGGGAACCAGGAGATTCAGACCCCTTGTAGCACACAGGTAACAGGCGACCACATCAGTAATGCGTTGGGTTGTGTGACTGGGAACTCCCGGTGAGCACCTCCAGGCAATTAAGAATTTCATGCAAATGTTTTTTGAGGGTTCGGTGCTGCTTCTAGGAGGTTATAGCAAATGGCCGAGGCATCCAGTGCTCCTGGTCTGCGAGTGTCTGTGTGAATGGCAGGAAAAACATCTGAAGTCTCAAGGCAGCAGAAAGGACCTTCCTCTCGCAAGTCAGCAAGTCATGAGCAAAGAAAGGATTTTTATTATATTTATGTTTTAACAGAGGCCCCAGGATGCACAGGGCACTGCTGTGCTAAGTGGTGTGCAGTCCTGAGAAGAGATAATCCTTGCCCCAGAGACCTTGTACTCCTGGGTGCTCCTCTTCCAAAGCAACATCACTACTTCTGTTTCCCCACATTGCTACTGGGAAAAGGCAGCCAAAAGGGACTGGAGATTTCCAAACTGCCTAGGACTTGGAAAACCAACTCGGTAGGGGGAATTCTCTTTAAAAACACACTAGAGAGAGAGAATTCTCAATGCAAATCTCAATCTGAACTGAGATGTAGAAGCTGCTTTACTGAACATTGTCAAGGACAAAGTGATCAGGTGGCCCAACAGGAAAAACGTAGCTGATTTCCATTGCCTCCAGCAAAGTTCACAGACGAGATTGAGGGTCTGCTGGGGAAGGGTGCTAATCTGTCACCCTCTATCACCGATTCTTCATGTGATACCCAGTGTATTATTTAGCTTTTCCAGCCTTCCAGTTCGCAGGGTTGTGAGCCAATGACTCCCAGCTTCTCCTACCAACTCCAACTTCTTGGGATTCAATGGTGTCAGAAAGGGCTTTGCTCCACTCCACCTTGTTATCAGCTACATGCCACCTTCCTGAAGTACAGATACGTGGAAAAGCCAGGCATAGCGTGCAGGGAGGGGAGTTCCCACAGCCATATGACATCACTCAGCCTTTGTTGTCATTAATCAAAGAGCATATGGCACAGGATGTCCCCATCAGCTGGCTGCTCAGAGCCCATGTGAGGCTTTGGAGCATGGGCATGGATAGAAAAGCTGTTCTCTCCTGCAGTGTTTGCCTGAAGCTGCTGAAGATCTCCTGGATGCTAGGGACAGACCTGACAGCACTTGGTCTTCTGGTTTGCTCCAATACTGTGTGAGGACAGGCTGTCTCCTCTTTGCTCCACCTGGATCACACAGGACTGGCGCAAATATTGGCTGTCTCATAGCTCACAGATGGGGACTGCACACACCTGTGGAAGGTATTATACATATTTCTCACTGAAGAATGCTTAGAACAGATGCTACTGAGTGTGCTGTGCTACTTTGCTTTATGTGTAATCCTTGTAAGGTAAATATAAGGACCATGCTGTTGGCCTGAGCCCTTCCTCAGCTTGGCAGAAATTTGAATTTGAACCCCAGTTTGTGACTTTTTGGGCTTTCTTAAATTTCTCCTTCCTTCTCCTAGAAGCATATCCCCTAGTGAAGGCAGCCACTATCTTCATTATTCACTAATTCACTGAAGACACTGTGAGCCTCAGAGGCACAGCGTTACTACGTACTCTAATGGTTTCTTCAGAACTTCTGCTGTTCTCTTTGGTTTGTGGGTGTCCTGTCCTTTTGCTGAGATAGCAGCAGTGATTCATGTGGTTCTAAGTCACATCTCTTCCCTGCTGTTTTTTCAGCTGGCACATGTTCAGTGCTGGATTTTTTAAAGCCTGAGTGTAATATTTCAGGAACCAGCCTTTTAAATTACAAGCCCACAAACTTAAGAAGCTCCTTGCAGTGAAATTTGGATTGCGTATCCTTGGTGCATAAGGGTGGTGTGAGGCTTACCACATTTCCAGGTGTGCGGTTAAAGAAACCACTGTCCAAGTATAGACATCATATAGCAGCGAGCAGCTCTGCAAGGGAGCACTTTCAGGTTTACAGTGCTTACTGATGGACGCTGGCCTTGCAAAAGTCATTTCATACCACGTGCCTCAGTCTGGGAATGCCTCTTGCGTGATGATGTCATGTTAATATTTCACTGATGTCATGCTAATATTTCACTTTGTGAGGAATGCCTGGTGACCTTTGCAGCTGGATTCTACTAGCCTCGTACTGTCACATCTGTCCAGTGATGTGGAAAGAAAACAGATCCGATAATCACGGAGCAGATTTATCCATCTGCAAGCAAAGCCCCACGTGTGTGAGTGAGCAAGCGGCTGCGTGGTGCTTAGCTGCTGGCTGGGGTTAAACCACCACAGTGTGAAAGAGACTTATGGTGTTCAGCGACAAAAGGACCAAGATGTGTTTCTGCTTGAGTGATGGTTCCTAAGGTTCAGAGGCCATAGTTCGCCATGTGGCTGCACTTCAGGCACAGTTACAGCCTAGAAAACAGGCTTTGGTGGTACTGAAGCAAGCAACTCGTGCCTGATGTGAATGGATGGCTAAGGTGTACCAGTGGTTCTGCCTGTGTCACTTCGCATTACTGCCAATTAACAACGTTGCCTGCAGAATCAGAACAAGGCCACTAAATGAGTTTGCTGTGTACAACTACCACAGCACACCTGAAGTTCTCCACAGCACTGACAGAAAATAGCATAATCTTCATCTCTTTCCTCAGCCCTATGGAATTCATTCCTGATGAGGTGTGATCCTTCTGAGTAAGTCCCGAGCTTACATAGCAGCAGGAAACTCCAAAGTGGGAAGTGTGAATCCCTCCTCCCATTCACCACCAGCACACATACCGTAGTCCCTCTGATCTTTACTCATCTGAGACTTTCTGGTTTCTTTCCCAAACATCATAAGCAATCAGTTAATTATTTCTTTTTGCTGTTGTCATTGCAGGGCAACCATTGATGAAGTGGAAACAGATGTGGTGGAGATAGAGGCCAAGCTTGACAAGGTAAGATGGGGCAGCTTATGGCATTGGTTTGAAGAGGAACTGATGATTTCCTGCTCAGGAATATGGCCCCACCACCCTCCTGTTTTAAAGTGAGCCCATCTCCAGCTGTGGGGACACTAATGGGCTTGTCAGCAGGACCATGTCTCCCTCTACTGACAGGTACCTGTCAAGGCTCCTTTGTGACTGCCAAAGGAGGTAGGACGAGGTCCAGACTTGGGCTCCTAATGCTGAAAGATGGCCTTCTTGTTCTGGGCCTGGATCTCAGGGCACTGACACTGCTTCTCCAGACTGACCCCTAGTGTACGTCTGGGCTCCAGATGTGACGGGAACTGCATCTGCATCAACGGTTGGACTTGGTGATCTTAAAGGTCTTTTCCAACCTAAATGATTCTATGATTCTCCTGCTGTGGCAAATTATTTCAGTGCTCTCTGTTTCCCCTCTCCACCATATGAACCTGCATGGGGTGGGAGCCCATGCATGCCCACACAGCACAGGCACCGCTGCGTCAGCTCAGGGGTGTAGGGAGACACTTGCAGGTGCACAAGGGGCCAGATTCAGACCGATGATGGTGGCTGCTGTCTGATGTTCAGCCAGGCAATGTGCCACAGCTGTAATCTGACACTGGAAATGCCCTCTCAGGGACCAGTTTGGCCATTTTGCATTTATGCTGGTGATTCTTTACATCCAGTTGGTAGTTTGGATTTAAGTCAGAGGCTTTATGATGGAAGGTGGCTTTTCCACCCCCACTCCTCCTGATGTCTGAGACATCAGCCAAGTTGTTTCTAAATGAGAAGAGGGAGAAAGGAAGAAGAGGAGCCAGAAGAGCTGTTGGCTTTTTAGGTGCAAGATTTCCCAGAGCTAGCAAGGGATAAAACTCCTGTGTCTGATGGAGAAATGGGCTTTGTTGAAGTCACAAGCCCTAGGCAAAGCTGTGTCCTAGAAAAACCTATTTACTACGCAAGCTGCTTGAAATGGTTATCTGCACAAGCTAACTGGTGAGAGCTGCAAAGGGATTTAGGTTCTCTCTTTTAAGGCTTTAAAGACAAAGCATGGGGCAAAACTTGCTCTGAGTCTAGCGCTACTGCTGTCCATGCCTGCTGTAGTTAGATGGCGTGGTGTGCCAGGAGCAGTCCTAGAGCGAGGAGGGTGGGCTGGAAGTACAAGAGCTGTTCAGGGCTCTTTAGTTGTTTGGTGTTTTGTGGCAAATTGATTTGAGCTCCTTTGGGTGAGGACTGCGTTAAAACAACAGTATTGTGCAATTTTGGTCCTCCCCTGACAGCCGTAACGGGGTGATATCCTGGTAGGGCAGAGTGGGCAGACATGGCGCTCGGTTTGCATGCATCCTTTCCCCGGTCTGCTGCGGAGGTGACCGGTCATGCAAAGTGCTGGCTCAGTCACTCTCAACAACAGGCTTATCAGGTCTGGGTCTGGGGCAAGTGAGGCTGGAGTTTGCACCTGAAGAGCCACCAAGGTTCACATATTTCTCTGAGGGTAACTTTGGACAAGATGCAATCACCCCCATTCCTAATAAATCAGAGTTGGATGGCCTGGCTCCTCTCCTGTGTACCAGCTGGGTGGATGCCCAGGGCAGCCTTTCGAGGACTTGGTGTAAATATTGTTCAGTGGTACCCAAATAGAGCATTAAGCTGGTGAGGACTGACTCTGTTCCTCTGCCTTTTACTGTGCCCCCAAGCACTTAGGTTATAAATGATAAGCCTTTTAACGCTTGTTTAAAATGGAGGTAAAGGGCAGTGTAAATGATTCAGCCAAGGGAACACCAGAGATTTGGGCTGTTTCAAAGAGATTTCCTTCTTTCTGTCCTGTGCTCCATCTGCAAAGCCATCGTTGCTCCCCTTGGGAATGTGCTTGTGCTGAATGGCCTTCAGCTACTAGTAACACAGCCTTGGCCACAAGTGTTTGCACAGAGGTATGCTAGAAACCGCCACGTTGCAGAACAGGCTGGATTTCCTTTCCAGAGGATCTGTCCAAACCCCTGGTGTACGTCTGGGCTCCAGATGTGACAGGAACTGCATCTGTTTGCTTTTCTTCTCTGGGCTTGGATGGGATAGTACAAGCCTGCTAGCATCCAACGCTGTTCTGTCAAATTGCGTGGACAGGGAGTGTGAAAGAGTGAAGACTGTATATGCTACGTATACACAATATAGCACGTGTGACTGCATATATATTTATACATTCAGATATACCCAGATATATTTTTACAGAACTGCAGAGGCAAGCAAGCTTGTTCTGCAATGCATGCATATAGATTAGACCCCAAAGCCTTGTAGCTGCATAAATAGAACAAGTACCAAGCCCCAAACCAGCACACTGTGCTTCAGTAGGGCTTTGGCATCAAAACTTGAGAGCTACTCATTCCCAGCCTGTAGGTGAGGCTGATTGGCAGGGATAGATTTCTGAAGCCATTTTTCATTAGTGAGATTAATATCCCCAAAAGGCTCTTGGATTTTGAGAATGGAAAACTTCAGTTCCCAGTGTTGTTCATTATTGGTGGCTAAAGTTTTTCACTTAGTCAAAAAGCCTAGAACAGTGACGATTTAAAAAAGAAAAACAAACAAAAAAATCAAAAAATCATGCTTAGTGGCCAGCCGTTACTGTTGCAAATCTCTTGGGCCTTTGGTTTATGGTTTTATCTTAAGTTGTTTACAGTAACCTTTTACAAGGAGCTTTGGCTGCAAGGAGATAGGCTAATGGCCAGGAATTCTGGCTAAGCTAATGCTCCAGTCTTTACAGCCAGTTCCAGGCATGCTAAGGCCGTTTGCCGTGGCTAGGAAGTCTGGGAATGTTCCCTGCGGCTGTTAAATTATCAAAAGTTAATAAAGGCCGTCAGAGATGTATACCTGTGCTGCAGCAAACTAATTCCAAGTGAGGAAGCCACCCCATTTTGCTGCAAGTCCCAGGTAACTTCACAGGTGACCTCACTACAACAAGGCTGGTGATGGGAATCGGAGCATGTGTAGCTTGCTTAAAGCTGTTAACATTTCTCTGAACAAAGGTCCTTCCCGGTCCGTCAGAAAGGCTGTGCTAAGTTACAGGCAGTCCAGAGATACAGGCTGTAATCCCTCCCAGTGCACCAGCAAAGGTTCCGTGGGCTGCTGAATTGTAGGTATTGATTCATAGTTATCTACAGTCTTGATGCAATCTTGATGATTTAACCTGTGTGTGATGGAACAGATTTTTACTGTCTGCACACAGCAGACGTGGCTTAAGCAGTCCTGGTCAGCTGGTTTAAGGAAAACACGATACAAAAACCTCACGCTGCTGAATGCTGGCTGCCCTTCATTCCAAGGTAGCAGCAAGACACGAGTCCACAAGGATACAGAAGAGCTAGCTGGGGTCAGAGACTCAGCAATCCCAAAAAGCAGCATACTCCCAGCAGGGAGATCGTAGACAGCTTATCACTTCCACCCAGCACCAAGGAGTCTTTCCCCAGTCAATCTGTGTGATTGGGTTCCTTTTATTGAAGTCCTGATGCCTTGGGATAGAATGAACAGTAGAAACCCACTGGAAAAAATGGGCTTCCCTGATTCCACTCTCCTCAGGGGATAGCCTGGGACTGTTATTCTTAAGTGACAAGTCAAATGTTGACAGCGTGACATACCCCGAGAAATGCAATTTGCATCCCAGTTTCTGCTGCATGCAGTAAGGGCTGCCAGCGTAGCCCCGCCAGGAACATGGATGGCATCTTGTTCTGAAGGGCTTGGGCTGTGGTGGTGGTGCAGTTTAAAACCAGCCTGGGTGCAATTCAGTTTGATGTGATCAGCCGCCTGTCCGCTCACACCTCTCTCCTTGTGCAGCTGGTAAAGCTATGCAGTGGGATGATTGAAGCAGGCAAAGCCTACATCACCACGAACAAGCACTTTGTCAGCGGGGTCCGGGACCTGTCGCAGCAGTGCAAGAAGGATGAAATGATTTCGGTAAGTCATCCTGCGGGATAGAGCATGGGCCATAGTGAGGGCTGGGGAATGTTAAGCTTCCTGATGCTGTCTATGGACTGTATGGCCAAGACCCTTACACTGTTTAAGCAGCCATTTAGTATGAGATTTTATTTTTGGAGGAATGTAGAGACCATCTGATAACTCAGTGCTGAAAGGTCAGAGTGAGATTCGTTGTTTCCAGGGAGAACTGGACTTCTAAGAAGCCACAGTGCTGGCAGGGTTGTTGGAATCTAGGTCAGTAAGCATTAGTTACTTAGGAAACGCAGGTAACCAGCCCGCGCAAGCGACGACTGAAATGTTGATTTCAGCACTAAACTGGAAGGGACAGGGAGCCTATGACTTCAGTGACAGACATTTTTGAAATGCCTTCTTGCCAAATGACAGGGTGGCTTTTCGGTGGCTTAATGAGAGTCTCTCTCAGCTGTTGAACCCCTGGGAATGAAGGGCAGCTGCTTCTATTCACTGCCAGTTCTCTTTACCTTTTTTTGCAGGAGTGCCTCGACAAATTTGGAGACAGTCTGCAGGAAATGATTAACTATCACATGGTAAGATGCCGCTTCCGCTTGTCTTTTTGTGGGCCGATGGCAACCTCTTTCTCAAGGCACTGATTAATGGTCTCCTGTGTTTGGCTTACTTGACACTGCACAGGGGTGGGGTCCGTGAAGGCAGCGTCTTTCAGGTTCCAGTCCCTGTGCTTTGAGTAGCCAAGAGAGCAGCAAAGGGCTGGGAGTTCTTGTTGCCTCTTGCAACAATATTGAATGGGATGAGCCGTGAGTCTTTGTACTCACAACGATCAGTCCTGACGCATCACGTACACTAGGAAATGGGATTTCCCCAGGCTTGCAGAGGAGCTACCCCTTAGTGAAAGGGTACGTACTGTTGCATGCGTGTCTTTTGGCTCCTTTCAGATCAGAGATGTACAATGAATATGTAGAAGGGTCCCTTCGTCAAAGGAAGAGGAGAGCTCACAAAGGTCCCACGCTGCAGGTGCCTTGTTCTTCTTTTTGGATAGCACAGGATTTTGTGGCGGGGACAGACAGGGATTCTGAGGAGCTCTGACAACTTGGGACTCCAGCTGTTAACAGCTTGCATGTATAACCATGTTGCTGCAGATTTGTAATACGCTTTGAAGCTTGGCACTCAAATTTATGACATTAGGATACCGGCAAGGCGGTGAATAGATCAAACTGAAAGGACTGCATTGTTCAGTTGATGCTGGGAGCAGACTCAGTGACTTGTGTGCAGCTCTGTGTTTAAAAATAACACAGGACATATTCATGCTACACTGAGATGAAAGGAGGGAAGTGCCCACACAATGGCTATTGTCCTGAGCCGACTGTGTCTCACTGACAGAGCCCAGAGTTAGAATCTGCACATTCTCCATCCCAAACATCCAGCCATGGCATCTGTAAACCTTGTAGGAGAGAAAGGTGCTTCATGCTTGGTGGATCCATGCCAGACCCACAATTTTAAGTCTGTAACTCAGTAGGAGCTTAAAGCACAAGTGCTTTAAAGTGAGGGGAGCTTCAGGGTGTCAGCACTGGACTGACCCACTTTTATACCACGATGCCCCTGTCAGAGTACATTAGGCACAACGCTTGCTTTTGGGATGCAAGTTAACCACATGCAGCTGGAGAAGAAGCTGCATCAAGTCCATTTAATTATTTCATGAAGCAGGTGGGAAGACTGTTTCCTCGTAAAAAATGATAGGGAAAAGAGGTACTGCACTTGTATTGCACTAGTATTTGGGAACAGTCAAACTGCTGTACAGCAGTGTTGGTGGAGAGAGGGTGAATAAACCAGCGTGAGCATCCGTGAAAAGGTGTGTTTGTGTCAAAGCAGAGAAAGTCAAACCCTGGTTTTCTGATGCTGCTCAAATTCCCCCTGAAAACCTAAGGCCTTTCTGCCAAGGAACATGTGAACCCCTGAGCAGCCGCCCCTTCATTCCCAGGGATCACATCACAGCTGCGCTGATAGGGGCTGGGCTGAGGAGTGCGTGCAGCCCAGCCATGAGGAAGCAGTCCCAGCCAGAAACCTCTGGATGCAGGATGCTGTCTGCAAGATCCGCTACGCCAGCTGTGCAGCTTCCCCTGGCTCCCTGGTCTCTGCCAAAAGTGGCACTTCTGGGATTGCTCTTGCCTAATAGGCAGAAGGACCCTTCCCAGAGCTGCCAAATCCCCAGCTGATGTGGTATAACCCTTCCCATGCACCCTTTTTTCTACGTGTGACTTAGGGGTTGTAACAGCCAGTATTTCCCTTACCACCAGCTGCATGCGCAAGGGGAAACGTGCTTAAATCCTCCCTCCCGCCAGCCTTTGGGGAGCACCCTCCTCCCTTGGTGTGCAGCAGTGCGAGTCCATCGCCAGGAAATGGCTTTGGAATGACTGCTGCATCTCGAGCCCTCTCCGAAGACCGTTCAATTAGCTGAGTTATTTTTGGTGCCTTCTGCGGTCTCCTTTGTGTGCCTCTGTGTGTGTGTGTGTGTGTGTGTGTGTGTATGTGTATCTTGGCTCATCCGTGTCTGAAGATCTCAGCTATGAAACAGTTGTCAGTGCTTACTCTAGGAATGTGGCCAGGACAGTATGTACAACTGGAACACGTTAAAAAGAAGGGAAAATATCCGCCAAAAATCAGTTGGAAAAGGTTGTTCTATAATTTTATTGCTAGAGCATGGGGCCCAGAGATGTCCTGATTCTAGTTCAGCAAAATCCAAGCATAAAACCCACTTGAATATAGATGAGCAGACTGAGCTCCAGAGCCTTCCCACCTTCCTTTTAATGCATAAGGAGGAAAAAACCATCAAAGCAGCCTTAGAGGACAGATGCCAGAAGAGAGAGTTGAGTTCAGAAGAGCTGGAGTCAGTGTCCTCTGCCTTTTTTTGTGCTCTTAGCCACATGCATTTGGGCTAATGCCTTACTCATGTCATGCATAGAAGTTAGAAACCCCAATATCTTTATGGATCTGGACTATTGTACATTTATGTCTCAGCTTCCACATCTGCAAAAGGCATTTCAAGTGCTTTGCTGTCTCTGAGGGGCTATTGGGAGGACACACAGACTAACGACTAACAGAAGCTCTGCTAAGTCATGCCAGGGAAATACCAGGATTGTCAGAAAGATGAATCAACACCTCAGGTAATGGAATTTTTGCCCAAACTGTAGAAAGGGATGAAACCAAGGAAGGGCAGACAGATGGAGGGAAAAGAGGACAAGTTTAGTACTGAGACTAAAGGTGCTGGGATTCAAATGCTGTTCAGCCACACAGAATTCTAGAAGATTACACTGATATAACTGGAAATAGTGTTGGGCCCCTATCTGACAAGGAAATTTGAGTAAGACCTAAAGTTTGAGAGCAGCAGTGCCCCATGAGGAGCAGTGTCTGTGGAGGATTTCAACCAGGCTGCTTTGGAAGCAGTGTGGCGAGCAATTCTGCGTTGTCCCTTCCCCATCCAGGTATGTGCTTCTTGCTTTGGCTTGGTGAGAGAAGGTCAAGCAACCAAATTATAAAGCTGTTGGACCCTTGCAGAACCAAGTGCAGCAGTGCAGAAAGCACTCACGCCTTCTGGGTTAGGTCCCAGTTAGGAGACTGGCATCCCTCAGGAGCTGCTTTAGTCTTAAGCGGTTTCATGGCCTCTTCCAGCCAGCACGGACTAGCCATACCACAGGGGGAGGCAGTCCTGCCACACCTCTTGCCTTCTCTCCATTTTTAACTTTTTTCCAGCACCCTTTTCCAGCATCCTTCCCTAGTGCTGGCTCATGGGGGGTCATACAGCTGCAGAGGGCACTGGTCTATGTCCAAACTAGACGGGTTTTTAGCTGTTAAAGCCATTTCACAATGCAGCCACACAAACATGGAGAACTCTTGACCACAGTGCTGGCTCATGCTGGCTGCAAAGGTTCATGAAGCTATGGTCCAAGGCTTCCCTGAACTGTACTCGGGAGGTAACTGCCTCTCCCCATTAAGTATTTAAGAAGTTTGAGCTCCTGGCTTTGGCTGGCCATGTTGACTGCCTAACGCAGCTTGCTCGGGCTGTTTTACTGGGGATAGCTCTGTAGGGGAGACAGGAGAGGTTAGGTGGCTCAGGCAAACTGATGGAGGTAGTGATTAAGAGGTCAAGGAACTAATGTCTCTAGCTGGTTGTGTTTGGTTTGACTAGTGAGCTGGAGAATGGCACTGCCCTAGCAGCCCCAGAGGACGTGTTCCTCTACCATGCCAGCTGCTTAGCTGGGAGGCTGATTTTGTTTGCTGCTCTAGGGAAAATGGCCCTCCAACGTCTTGGGCAACCGGCTTCCTGGGAAATTCTGTTCAGAAACATATGCTTGGTGGCTTGAAAAAGAGCTTCCTACTGATGTTACAATGCTGACCTCTTGAGGCATGGCTGCGGCTGCAGATGTCGGTAGGAGCCTCAGCAGAAAAGCGGTTTGACTAGTGAGCTGGAGAATGGCACTGCCCTAGCAGCCCCAGAGGACGTGTTCCTCTACCATGCCAGCTGCTTAGCTGGGAGGCTGATTTTGTTTGCTGCTCTAGGGAAAATGGCCCTCCAACGTCTTGGGCAACCGGCTTCCTGGGAAATTCTGTTCAGAAACATATGCTTGGTGGCTTGAAAAAGAGCTTCCTACTGATGTTACAATGCTGACCTCTTGAGGCATGGCTGCGGCTGCAGATGTCGGTAGGAGCCTCAGCAGAAAAGCCAAAGGTCCTGCTGCCTGCCGTGTCGCCTCGCAGTCGGATTCAAGGCAGGACGCTGTGCCTGTATTTCTCTGGGTGGCTGTACTGTGTCTGGATGAATATTGCATTTAGGGGGCTGTCATTTCCCTCTCCGAACAAGCATGGCAGCGTGTAGGTCTGCTGAATTCTTGGACTCATCTTTTCTAACAGCAATTCAGTGGGCTGATTCTCAGTTGTACAAACGCTACATTACATATCTAAGGGGTAAAGGTCCCCAACTTCAGGCATCCTAGACCCAAAATTTCAGTTTGTGCAGGAGAAAAATACCTGATGAGAAATGACTGTGACTCCTCTCCATGTTCCAAAAGCAAAATGCCCCACCTTTCCCTATTGACTCTAGGATTCCTGCAGCTGTCAGTTGTGCTAAGAATTTAAAAGCATCAGCTATTACCTCCAATACTTGTAAAAGCAGTGTGTTTGGGGTAATTGGCTCTTTACCAAACACGGGCAGGGCAGAGGTGCAGGGTCTCAGAGGTATTTAGTTCTCCAGGTACTGCTGGACTCGGTGAAACTGAGGCGCTTGGACATCTTTGCAGCGTTAGCTTGTGCTTCCTACCACCGAGTGAAAATGAAATCTTACTGCTGAAAAATTCCTTGTACCTGAGATCCTGAGAGAGTGAGGGATCTTCCCCTCACTGTGTAAACACTTAAATATCCCACAGCACTTCCCTCCAGTAAATGTCCTGGTCTGTCCCAGTATTTGTACTGTGTTCTATCACTCCCCTACCTGCCAGGAGCCTGACGTTCTGCAGAAACTCCCCTGCCCATTCTCTGGCAAGTGCAGTCTTTGCAGCACGGGGCACAGCTGAACCAGCTG